AATGCTGGTAGGAATGCAAAATGGTGCAAGCACTATGCAAAAGAGTGTGGCGATTTCTTGAAAAACTAAAAATAGAAATACCATATGATGTAACTATTCTACTACTGGGTTTTATCCACCGAATATGAAATCAAGAATTCAAAAAGGTTTTTGCACCACTATAGGCACCACAGCATTATTCACAATAGCCAAGATAAGGAAGCAGCCCACGTGGCCATCAACGGATGAATGGACAAAGAAGATGTGGTGTATATATATATATATATATACACAATGGAATACTACTCAGCCATAAAAAACACAAAATCATTCCATTTGCAACAACATGAATGGACCTTGAGGGTATTACGCTAAGCTAAATATGCCAGACAAAGACAAACACTACATGATTTCACTCATATATGGAAGACAAACACATAGATACAGAGAACAGATTGGTGGCTACCAGAGGGGAAGGGGGTAGGGTGTAGGGCAAAAGGGGTAAAAGGGCACATATGTATGGCGATGGATAAAAACTAGACTATTGGTGGGGACAACCATGCAGTCTATACAGAAGCTGAAATACAGTAACATAAGCCTGAATTTTACACAATGTTATAAACCAATGTCATCTCAATAACATAATTTAAAAAAAAAACAGGAGTGAAAGTGTATCATTGAGGCTGGACAACCCCAGGCATTTTGGAAAATGAATTTAAATGCTCAGTGAGTTTATAAGCACCTTGGAAACTGTCATAACCATAGCTAGTTGTACATAGGATGGTGCAAATAATGACCCGAAGAAGGAATACCAGACCCCTAAGACAGGTCTCAAAGATTTTACTGATCATTCTTTTTTCAAATACATCTTGTCGTCTGTAATATAGTTGCTAAAGTTAAGTAAATATGTCTACTGGGTACATGCAGTTCTCTTCACTTTCTCCATCAGTTTTGATACCTTTGCTGTTTCTGTAGAGACTCAATGTCCTTTTCCTAAAGTCAACAAAATCTTATGAGTTTATTTAATCAAACTGAGTTCCCTGCTGACTCCCTAGAACACGGCTCATCAGCCAAGACAAACTCTATAGGGAGTATTTCTATCTCAGCAACACATCAATCCTTGTCATCCTTAAAATCCCATCAGAAGTGGATTTTGCTTCATCAGTTGATCTGCAACAGTGAGTAGTTAAAGGGTAGACTTCAAGCCTCTTTCAAGTCTTACCCTCTCTTCAGCATACAAATGTACTTATTTTGTTCTCAATTTTCTGTTTTTCCTCCTTTTCTTTTGGACTTCATCACAAGAATAAGAGGGAGAAACAAGACATCTTTTTCTCTTTATACAATCACTGTCTTCTCTATTCATGAAGGAGATGAAAAAAATATGTGAGTAGCCAATGCCGAGATCTCACATGAATCCACCCCAAACCCCACTGTTTTTCCCTTATTTCTGTGGCGCAACAGCTCTTATCATTGTCTGTCTCCTGAGACTGTGCAGGACAAACTGAACATAACAAACAGCAAACGAGGAGCGATGTTCATAATGTTTGTGTGGGCTGCCTGATACTGGTTCGTCTGTTTTCAGCATCCTGAGTTTCTGGAATTGGTGTGTGTATGTGTGTGTGTGTGTGAGTGTGTGTGTTTGTCTGTGGGTGGCATTGTGGGGTGTCAGGGGAGTGTGATAGTGAATCACACTTTCATCTTTGCCTTTCACTTCAACTGTGTTTCCTACTTATGGAATTCTCCATTTTTACAGTGTAAATTCTCCCTTACACACTCCAAAGGCTGAGTTCCTCGAGGTTTTTCCTGGAAAATTTGTGATGCCCATGTCAAAATAGCTCTTCATCTACCTCAATTGAAACCATTCTTTGTGGCTTATCAGCCAGTCTAGTCTTTTCTCAATTCTCTTTAGTTGAGGTTGTCTGGACTTTGACTTGACTGAGGAAACCTCTACTGGGTTAGTAGGGCCTTAACTGGATCTTTTAATTGAGAGTCAAATAACATCCCACAAAGGCTTCTCTGGAAGTTGAGATAAAACGTCCGCTGGAACCAAAGGAGTGCTTTATCACTATTTTGGTTCACATTTTTTAGTGGGAATGGAGGGGTTGACAATATGTAGATTTCCAAATAACTCTTCTCAGAAATTCTGATTCCATCAGTCTGGTAAGGGGCTAGAAAATGAACGCTTCCCCAGAAAACCTGATGATTCTAAGACAAATGATTTTCTCTCTCACTCAGCAAAACTCACCTTGGACTTTGCCCTATTGATCAGGTGAGTTAGACTGTTTGTAAGGAAATTAAATGTTTTTTTGACGTGCAAATTACGTGAAGCCATATTTGCAATTTTTTAAGAAGTTTATTTTCTTTGTGTGCACTTCAACTTTTTAAAGTATATAACTGAAATATGCAGGCATACATTGAAGGTATTGAGGGACAAGTTCCAGACCACGGCAATAAAGGGAATATCACAATAAAGGGATCCCACAAACTTTTTGGCTTCCCAGTGCATACAAGAGTTATGTTTACACTGTACTGTACTCTATTAAGTGTGCAATAGCATTATGCCTAAAGAGGATTGTACATACCTTAATTAAAAAATACTTTATTGTTAAAAAAGTTTACCTATCATCTGAGCCTTCAACAAGTTGTAATCTTTTTGCTGGAGGAGGGTCTTGCCTGGATCATGCTGGCTGCTGACTGATCAGGGTGGCGTTTGCAGAAGGTTAGGGTGGCTCTGGCATTTCTTAAAATAAGACAACTATAAAGTTTGCTGCATTGATTGATTCCTCCTTTCACAAATGATTTCTTGTTTGTAGCATGAGATGCTGTTTGATAGCATTTCACCTACAGTAAAACTTGTTTCCAAATTGGAATCAATCCTCTCAAACCCCGCTGCTGCTTTTTCACCTATGTTTATGTAATATTCTAAATCTCGTGTTATCATTTCAACAATCTTTACAGCATCTTTACCCAGAATAGATTCCATCTCAAGAAACCACTTTCTCTGCACATCCATGAGAAAGCACTCCTCGTGCATTAATCACGAGATTTCAGCAATTGGGTCACATCTTCAGGCTCCCCTTCTAGTTCAAATTGTCTTGCTGTTTCCACTACATCTGCAGCTACCTCCCCCCCTGAAGTCTTGAACCCCTCAAAGTCTCCACAAAGGTTGGAATCAACATCTTCCAAACTCCTGTTCATGGTGATATTTTGACCTCTTCCCATGAATGACGAATATTCTTAACGATTCTAGAATGGTGAATCCTTTCCAGAGGTTTTATTTCAATTTGCTTTGCCTAGATCCCTCAGAGGAATCACTACCTATGACAGCTATAATCTTAGGAAATGTGTTTCTCAAACAATAAGACTCGAAAGTCAAAGTTACTCCTTGATCCGTGGGCTGCAGAGTGGATGTTGTGTTAGCAAGCGTGAAAATGACATTAATCTCATTGTAAATCTCCACCAGCACTTTTGGGTGACCAGGCGCATTGTCAATGAATGGTAATATTTTGAAAAGAATCTTGTTTTCTGAGGAATAGGTCTTAACAGTGGGCTTAAATTATTCAGTAAACCATGCTATAAATAGATATACTGTCATCCATGCTTTGTTGTTCCATTTATAGAGCACAGGCAGAGTAGGTTTAGCCTAATTCTTTAGGGCCCTAGGAATTTCAGAGTGGTAAATGAGCATTGGCTTCTACTTAAAGTCACCAGCTGCCTTCTCCCCTATCAAGTGAATCAGACTACCCTTTGAAGCTTTCAAGCCAGGCATTCAGTTCCCTTCTCTAGGAATGAAAGTTCTTGAAGGCATCTTCACCTTCTATTTCATCTACGCTGAAAATCTGTTGTTTGGTATAGCCGCTCTCATTAATTACCTTAGCAATACCTTTGAAGCACAGCAAAGTGAGGTGCAATACAACGAGATGTGCCCGTGTGGTGGTTGTAACTTAAGGTTATAGAACTTCTGGGATTCTCTCATTTATGTAACATTCAAGAATAGTTTTCTCAGGCAGAGCTAATAAAGAAATGCTCGGCTGGTCTGATTTTGGAATAGAAATGTCTTTAGACTATTTTTATTTTGACTTTCTTACTTAGATTTATTTCAGATTCCTGATAACAAACTTCTACTGGAATATGGAGGAATTGCTATGCGGTATCTTGCAGCTAAATGAGAGCAACATTTCCAAGGCAAAACCAATTGGTATCACTCACGCAGAGCATTTTCCACAATGCATTTGAAACAGTGTATCAGATCCCAAAGCCTCAGAAACTTCTTTCAAATTTAGCAGATTATTGAGGTTGGCCTGGTGGCAGAGAGGATAAGATCGTGTGTTACGCTTCTGCAGCCCAGGGTTCATGGGTTCAGGTCTTCTGTGTGGACATCGCCACCACTCCTCAAGCCATGCTGAGATGGCATCTCACATGCAAAATAGAGGAAGATTGCCAACCGATGTTAGCTCAGGGCCAAACTTTCTCACAAAAAAAAAAAAAAAAAAAGAAGTTTGCAGAGTATTCATGTTTCAGGAAAAAGAAGAAATAAAGAGCATATTCATCAAAGAATTTTCTATTTCTATAACAAAGAATAAAGTGTAAAGAATAAAAATATAAAATACTAAGAAACCGTACGGTAAATGGATTAGAAGCATGGACTCTGTGGCCTAACTCCCTGGCATCAAATCTTGCCGGCTCTGCCAGCTGGGCCACCTTGAACACTTTGCAGAACGTCCTGTGCCTTACTTTTCTCATCTGTATGTTTGGAATCATGATAACCCCTCCCTCATGGGGATTTAGAAAAACTGTTTAACCTCCTAGCATCTTAGTTTCCTTGTCTTTCAGAGCGTGATAAGAACAATACCTCTAGCAACGTTGGGTTGCTGTGAAGAGGATGGTAAATGAGTTGATACACATAGGACATTTAAACACTGCTTGGCGTACAGTGATCATTCAATAAGTGTTAGTCATTATTATAAAATACTAAGAACTTGAAAATCATTTTATCTGTTTTCACTCGTAGGTGAATAATTATGGACAACACAGACACATATTTATTGAACTTTAAAGGCTATTATCTTGCACATTTTACTGCTAATACTGACCTACTGAAAAATCTAGATGATTTTGAAATTAGAGATGATGATGTCTTCATAGTCACATATCCAAAATCTGGTAAGTTTGAGGAGTGGGCCACCTGTTCTCATCTTCACTCTGGTTTGGTAATACGTGTGTACAGAGGTGCCCTTTTCTACACATTGACAGTAGCCCCATGTACCTTTAGATGATTATTTGCAATCAGAAAAAAAGTTAAATAAATCTCACATCTCTATGATATATGCCTATTTGAGCTGCATATATTGTCATTTCTGATGGCACATATGAAGAAATCAAATACTGAGCCAAGGGTGATACTTGGTAATTGCTGACCTGTTGGCTTGGTCTGACACTGGAAGAAAATATATTTAAAAATCCAGCAGGATCCTTCTCAGTAGCATTTCACTGTAAGAACTAACCCCTAATATGCTCTTCAGTTGTTCTAAATGCTTTGTATTTCTCTAAGATAATGAAATTGTTTTGGACTAAAGTAAATTGCCCTCAAATCAAACATTGTAAAATAAATCATTTTTTATATTGTGGTCTCTAGAACATAAGGTGATTGGTGCCATTGAGGCGATGTTGTATGGAGTGCTTAATGTTGCTCAAAGACACAGTAGAGTCCACATCTACATAGAAAAAGTTATTCCTGACTTTCATGAAAATGCTCCAGTCCCTCCCTTTTTCCATTTACTTTGGAATTCATGACCTTGTGCACTTTCCCCAAATTAGTAGCACATGGCCTTATCCCTGGAGTCTTCTTCTCTGCTCCACATACGACTGATATTAGGGTGTTTTCCTCTCTTGGATGTGGATGAAATTGTTTGCCTAGTTTTAGGCCAGCACGGCAGTCATAAAAGAGTCTTTCCTTTACCTTTAGTCCAGCCCAAGTATTTGGGACACCACACACCAGTCCTCAGTCCAGCCTGCTGGCTCCTTGATCATCTTGGAGGGAAGATTAGTGAGTCTCCCCAGGATTCACCATACATTGTACCAAATCTATCATGTAGATAAATCAGTTAGGTAATGACATTAGTAAGATTTTTGGCATCTCACATCCTCTTAGAACTTGATGATATCCTCATGAACATAGATACAAAAATCATAAACTGAATACAAGCAAAGCAAATACAGCAATGCAAAAAAAAAAAAAATACATTATGACCAAGATGGGTTTAATTCAAGAGTCAAAATTACTTTAAAAATTTGTTAATGTAGTTCACCCACATGAGGAGAGTATGGGATGGAGCCTGAATTATCACCTCAATAGATGCAGAACGAGCATTCAATAAAATTCAGCATCCATTCATAATGGAAACTATAAGTAAGCCAGGGAGAAAAGGAAACTTCTTTAACCTGATAAACAGAATCTACCAAACGCTACCACAAACATCATATGCAACAGTGAAACATTTAAAATAGTACATTTAAAGTCAGGAACAGGACAAGAATGCTTGCTATCACCACTTTTTACAAGGGAAGACATATGCTACACAAGTAGAAAAAAAGATGTGAAAAGAGACTTGACCTTTAATTACCTGTACTTCTAAGAGACCAAGCACTAAGAAAGGAGACTAGGGAAGGAGAAACAGAGGTAGCCGCAGAAAATCACAGAAAGGGACCCGACGCAAAGTAGAGGAAACAGAGAAGGAGTAAGGATTAGTCTGAATCACTCCTATCGTGGACTCAGAACAAGCACAGCTGCTCAGAGTGACAAAGGAACTGAGCCCTTGATTTATCTTTACTCATCTTAATGTAAAATACAAACACAAAAACGAACAAATTCGTGTGTGTACTGAGAGTGGTTAAAAGAAATAAAAAGAATTAATATTAGAGTTATGAAAAATTTATTCTGGGTTGAAAACACGATTGTTTCTTTTTACAGGTACCATCTGGGCTCAGCAGATATTAAGCTCGATTTATTTTGAGGGACATCGTAACAAAACTGAAATGGTGGAAACACTTGATGGAGTCCCCTTCCTCGAATACGCAGCAGGCAAAATAGACCAACTCAAGAGACCATCGCCTCGCCTCTTCTCTTCCCACCTCCCATATTATTTAGCACCAAAAGGTGTCAAGAACAAAAGAGCTAAAGTATGTCACAGGAATAGCTTATGGACCTTTTGCACAAACAAAAGTACTTTCTTCCAATTTTGTTCTCCAGCACCAATCATCCATATTCTTTTAAATATGATTATTACAATTTTTATGCGGGGTATTTACCAAGGGCATTAGCCAATTGACCCAATGTGATTTGTTTAAGCATTTACTCTTTCCCTAAAGCTTTGGAGTCTACATTTTTGTTATACTAAGTTTCCATGATCCCTCCATCTGATTTCTGCATTCTTTATTCCAAAATTTGTTATCTCTGTTTAATATGTGGCAGTTCTTCACCATTTTAAATATTGTAACTGATTAGGCAAACCAACTTTACTTTTTAATATGCTAATTCCACCAATGATTTTTAGATGTTAATAGGAATTGATTAAATATTAGATTAATTCTGAGACAATCATTAACTCTGCAATATTCCAACACCCACCCAGCATCGTTCTATTGCTCTTTATTTGTTAGGTCTGCTTTCACATCCCCCAAACATGCTATGCTGTTCTTTATATGCTTCTTACACATCTTTTCCTGGATTTTCAGCTTTTTGTTATTTGTATGGCTATTCTGAACTAGACATTGTTTTCGCTACCGACTTTCCCGTTAGTTATTGCCGTTATAAAGAAAAAGGCTTTGGTTTTGTACTCTATTTGGTCCCTTAATCTCTTTTATTACCTTTGTTAATTTTTCCTTTATTCTCTGCAATATATTTCATCTTAAATTATAGTAAATTTTATTTTCCTTTACTTTCTAATATTTACACTTCTTTTTCTATTTCAAACAGTAAAATCTGCAAAAGAAGTTGAATAGTAGAAGTGATGAGGAATGCTCTTCTTTTGTCCTTGATTCTCTAGGATTTTGAGTATCTTTTCTTGTTTTTGTTTTGTTTTGTTTTGAAATTGATTTCAGAGGTATCCAATGCAGAGAAATTTGTTTTTTCTATTCTTGTTTACTTGGAGTTTTACTTTTATCTTTTTTTCTTTCTTTAGAAAAGCTCTAATCACATAAAACATCTTTTTTGGCAACTCTGAAGATGCAATGTTTCTTCTTCCTTTACTCTATAGTAACATGAAATCCACTAATAATTTAAAGATGTCCTATTTCTGGAGTAAATCCTATTTGCTCATAGTGTAATATCGTTTAACATAGTCCTGGGAGAGTTTTGTTAATTTTACTCCGGAATTTAATCTGTCATTATTTCAAAACTAGACTTCAGTTTTCAATGATTGCTCTATCTTTATTTGATTTTAGTATCACTGTGATTCTAGTCTATAAAATAAATTTCGAGGTCTTTTGTATTTTTGCTAAGTAGTTTAAAAAATATAAAATAACGGAATTTTTTGAAGATTTGATTAATGTCCATTATAAATGTATCTGATCCTGTCAGCTTCATGGTTCTATAATATTTTCCTTTTTCTCATCAGTTTATTTAAATTAATTTCCTTTCTTTAAACAAATATTATAATTTTGTTTTCAAAGCAAATGATTCCCATTTCATCAATATTTACAAACATGGAAAATAATTACAACATATTCTCTCATGACCTGGTGAATTTTCTCCAATTCTGTGATAACATCTTTTTTATTCATTTGTAATGAAGAAATATTTCATATTTTTTCCTAATTAGATTTGTTTGCATATCAGCAGTTTTCTGTTATATTGGGGGTTTTTCCTTCAAAGAACTAGCTTGTTTTTGAAACAAAATTTTATAAATCCTTGATCTCTCCTTTTATGTTAATTCATTACGTCTTCGTATTTTGTTTACATTTCTTTTTCTGTCTTCTTTAGTTAAAGGACTAGCAATATCAATATGCAAAGTTTACTTTTTAAAGTGATGATTATCCTTTTCGGTATAGCTATAGTTTAGGTTAGCTATACTTTTTAGTGTAGCTAAAATTATGGTTTTGGCATAAACTAGGACAATTGCTTTATTTAAATCTATAGACTTAATATCTGTATTAAGATCTATAATATATTAATATAGGTCTAATATTTCAGGTTTAGCTGTCTAATTGGTCCAAGTTATTCACAAGACTTTTTTTCCCCGTGTGTTTATATACTTTTCTAACTTGGCCATCGTTGATTATTAGTATTTATGGCACTATCCATAGGGAATGGTATTACAAGAATTCTAATTAATGAAATTCATTAAGGAGTCTTATGGCGAACTATATGAGCAATATTCAATGGTTATTCATATTCAATATTCAACAGTAGTTCCAGGAGTACATGAGAAAATGGTGTATATTCTATGTATGGGGCACTAATAACATACATATATAAAATAAATTTTGTCAAACAATTTTGTAAATTATTTCTTTTAATCCTTTTACACTTATGCTTAAAGAAATTGTGTGTAAATCTCCCACCACGATTTTCCCTAAATCAAAAGCTTTGAAGACTTACTAGAATTTGTGCCGTTTATGTTTTTCTTTGACATTATTCAGTATACAAAGATTACTGTTCCATTGGTCACCGCAAACCAATTATATGATGTTCTCTTAAATCACTTGGCTTTACATTTTACTGGACTTTATATTGTAACTTATTTTCTTTTTCCCTGGGGTTTTGCCATATGCCTTTGTTTGTTCTTATTTTTCAATATTATTTTCCACTGCTGCATAATTTTACATGTTGTGTAAGTAATTCTATCAGATCTATGCTTTTGTTTCACTGAAAGATTAGGTTATTCAATTTTTGTTATCTAGGATATATTGTCACGAAGCAGCTTATGTTGGGAGAAAGTAGTGACTGTTTATTCTTCACAGCGATTAGTTATAATGTTAGAAGTTTCTAAATGACAGAGATTTGGTCACTGGTTACTTCAGATCAATCTTGAGAAACAGCTTAAGTTTTGCTTGTTATTGTCAGAGTGATAAGCAAAAAATGACCCAGGTGGAGTTCGCTTTGCAAAATAAGCTAAATTAAGCTTTGCTTGTATGACTAAACTGGTTTTGTCTGCTCAGAGAATTTTCAAGTCTGGTCTCTGATTTTACTTTTAACATTTTAAATCCTTTTTTTCCCGTTTAGGAAATCCTTCCCTTCTCCAAGACCAGATGTATATTGTTTATTTTTTAGATGTCAAAGTTTTGCATTCATACTTAAAACCTAATCCATTTGTAAACAATTTCTGTTTATGGTGTGAGGAAAGTCCATTTTGTTTTCTTTTTCCTGTCTGGATAATTATTTATTTCAACATCATCTGTTATGTAATTTTCCCTTTTTATTTTCGTGCTAAGAAATATTCACCCTAAGCTGACATGTGTTGCCAATCTTCCTCTCTTTTTCTTTTCCTCCCCAAAGCCCGAGTGCATAGTTGTATATTCTACTTGTAAGTCCTTCTCATTCTTCTATGTGAGCTGCCCCCACAGCATTGCTACAGAGAGACTAACGATGTGGTTCTGTGTGCAGGAACTGAACTTGGGCCACTGAAGAGGAATGTGCCAAACTTTAACCACAAGCCATCAGGGCTGGCCCAGTCTTTCCTTTTTTGCCCTGATCTCCAATGCTACTTCGGCTGTATATCTAATATCACTTAATGCTCAGGGAAGGTACATTGAAACAGCTTCTATGCAAGTTCCTGTGCAATATTAATCAATGCTACAAATAATGTCACCTTTAGAAATTAGTCTTATATTCTTGCACATGTGAAATGTCATGGAATAAAGTTATTTTTGCAACAGTCTTTCTAATAGCAAAAAATCTGGAAGAAGCTAAATTTCCACAAGTAAACTGGATAAAGTAAATTATTATGCATTTATATAGTGAAATTTAGATGTTAAAAATAACTGTAAGGATATGCAATAACTGTGAAGAATTTATTAATTCCCTTGCAGATTATTTACATCTACAGAAACCCCAAGAATATTTTGGTCTCCTATTTTCATTTTTCAAATATGATGGCTGGATTACAAGCTGCGGATGATATAGAAGATTTCATGAAAATGTTCTTCGATGGAAAAGGTAATTAGATTTACTTACCAGGAAACATGTTTATGAGGCAATGTTGCTATTTAGCCAAATTCTCTAGCTTAGGGAACATAATTTAGAGAGTTGCAAAGGGTAATGATAGAAGGTAGAAAGGACATAACTGGTTACTCTTGTTTCTCAGCATAATCTGCTACGCAATGGCTTTTCCAGCCTTACCAGGACAACTTTGGGAATAGTCAAGGTTACAAAGGAATATTGTTTAAGAAATATTTTGACCCAAGCATAGGAGAACCAGAAATATTCTAGCAGTTCAAACTAGCTAGATCCATGTGTTCCAGAAGAGCTACTGTTGAGGGCGGGTGTAGGTTCTGTGCTCTGTCATGGCCTGTGGTGGCCCTTATGGCAGCTGTGGAACTAAAGAGGAAAGATTGATGTGAGAGGACTGTGGAGTGAGAAATAGGGTTCTCACTCATTTAGAAGATTATATTCGGGTTTTGTCTTATTCTAGACAGCTAAAGCTGCTATGCAGAGATTTTAAAACAGACAGTAAGAGGAGAAATGAAAAGATATGTTTTTAGGTGGAGGAAGAAGGAAAAGGAAGTGGCTTACCTTAAAGAAATCTTCAAAATTAGTTCTTTGGGCTTCTTTTTCTTTGCATTGCCACATTCCTGCATATATAGGAAAGGCATGTTTCTACTAAAATTATGCATTGGTTTCCCAAAACACCATTTTCAAAAGGTAGCATAGAAGTCCAGGGGTGGGAGCTTTATTTTTCTTTCTGAGGACTCCAGAACAGAAAAGAAGCACTATTTACGTTGCTCCTCAATAAGTGCAACATCTTCACCTCATTACTTATTAACTTTCCCCACAGTGACAGGAAGCCTTTGCTTTGATCACATCAGAGGCTGGTATGAGCACCGACATGACTTCAACATTCTGTTCATGATGTATGAGGAGATGAGGAAGGTAAGAGGGGAAGATTATTTTTAAAAATACTATTTCTTTCAAACATTTTCCTGTTTTGATTTCAGTGAACCACTTTCCCCTCGTTATCTTCATACCTAAATACTTCTCAGGCTTCTTTGGAGGTATCTAATATCATGCCCAGCTCTTAGTTGTTGGTCTTCCTCAGGGCTCTCTCCTCACCATACACAGTCACCTTTATGATTTCTTTCCGTGTACCCCTCCCTAAATGTCTAGAGCAGCCGTAACTTAATAAAGAGAAAGGGCACTGTGCAGTCCTGGGCTGAGAAGCCGCTAAGATATGGCTAATTAAACAGAGGTGAATGTGTTCTCTGCGATGTAAGTTCTTCCTGTTATTTTAAAAGAACCTTGAAAAGTTGCTTTTTTGTGAAATCGCATAATGTTTACCCGTTGTCATCCATTCAAAGCTGTCTTAAAACATTGCATTAATCAAATGAGACACATTTGACTTTACTATTTTGAATCTGATTGATATGTTAACTCACTAATATGTAAAATATTATCTCATTTCTTCAAAAGTATTGAATGCCTACCATGTGACAGACACTAAATTATGAGAAAAATAGGATTGAACCTTTTATTCATTGAGCTTATAAGTCAACAGGGAAGACAGGTATTCCCCAAGCAGGTATCCATAATTCAAAACTGTGACAAGCGTTGGTAAGAAAAACTGCAGGTATGAGATCAGTATATGGAATAAGGGGATCTGGTATAGTCAAAGGTGATAGGCAATGTTTTCAGGAAAAAGTCACAGGACAAGGATAAGCTAATGAATATGCGTTAACAACAGAAAGAGAGGTAAAGGAGAATTCTAAGCAGGGAAAGTGAATTTGCTAATTCCCTGAAGCAGTAAAGCACATGACACCTTTGAAGAAGGGAAGAAAGAAGTTAAAGAGCAAGTGGAAGTAATAAAAGGTTAGATAAAGATTTCTAGGAGCCAGACATTGCAAGCTGTGTAGACAATTTTGAAGTCAGTGATTTCTTTAATCTTAAAAGCAATAAGGAGCCCTTTAAGAGTTATAAGAAGAGAGCAATGTGATAGAATTAAGAATTTAAAATAGCATTCCCATTAGTGGATTCAAAAATGACAATAGTGAATACAGGCAAACTCATTAGAGACCAGTGTGCTAATCCACTGTAAATCAATGGTGCTTTGGATTTAATGGTATCACTGAAATTGAAGAGAATGCAGAGTTGAAGATATATTCAGGGGAGGCAAAGAGGAGAGGGACCATAGATAGAAAGAATGAGCAAGAGTGAAATGTCAAGAATGCGTGCTACATTTCTGGTTCATAAATTTATGTAGACAATGGTGTCATTCATGAAGGCGTTAAGGGCACACTGAAGCAGATAAGCCTAGAGATAGAAGATTAGGAGGTTGCATTTGACATTTAGAGTTCAAGGTGACTTAGTAGTATCCAAAAGAAGGTATTTGGAAATATAAGTCTAAAGCTCAAAGAAGAAATCTGGAAAAAAATATGAATGATCTTAATTTGGCCATCATCACTGTATAGAGCATGACTGAAACTATGAACATGGATAAAATTGAGTTTGGGAAGGGAGGAGGGAATGAGTGAGGCAAGAATGGAGGAAGGGAGACGGAGGGAGATAGCGAGAAGAAAATAGGAACCAGAATCTATTTCTGAGATATCTTGAGGTATAAAGTTTGAGTAGAGAGGGACGAGCCCACCGAGGAAACAGAAAAGAAGAAATCAGAGATGTAGAAAGGAAACAAGGAGTGTGTAGTGACCTTGAAGCCAAATGGATGTGTCAGGAATGATCTTCAAGATCCTTTTCAGATATTTAAGGCTGCTGAGAAGTCAAGTAAAAAAGAGAGTTTGAAACGTCCATTAAATCTAGAGACATGAAGTGTCGTATGAGGTCCAGTAAACCAGAGTGGAATGGGTTGGGGAATAAAGTGGTGAACTCTGAATCTGAATCAGCAGCCCAGACCCATATATATTGTAACTCTCTTCTATATACCTACTTTTATATCTCATATTTGGGCTTCAAACTAATCATGTCCAAAATACAGCTTTTTACCTCCCAACGAAAGCTGCTCTTCCTCCCATGAATTGCACTGTGATTCAAGTGACCTAAATCAGAAAGCAGGCTCATACTTCACACCTCCTTCACCTTGCATCTTCGTTTCATCAATCAATCACTGAGTCCTGTGAATTCTGTTTGAAACCTCTGTGGGAGACACAACTTATCTCACTCCTTTTGCCTCTCCCTAGTCCAGGTCACCATCATTGTTTGCTTAATTTCTGCAGCAGCCTTCCTAATTGGTCCACCTACCTGAAATCTCACCTCCCCTTTGTTTATTCTTCAACCAGAGTTATCATCTCAAAATGCATATCTGATTCCTTCCCTATTTTCATATTTGAGTTCCTCCATAACAATGTGCTCACAACAAAAGCACTCATGAGCAAAAGAAGGTACAGGAAGTTTGGAGAAAGAGACTGACCCCAGAGTAAACTATGCAAAATCTCTTGAATATTTCTCTCTTCTGTCATCAATATACTAGCAACTTTTTTCTTACCTTCCACCAAGTAGCCCCTTATGTATTTCTGATCTAGATTTTTTTAGCAGCCTTTCAATTTTTTGTTGCTATTGTTAGCATATAGTAGGAAGAGAAACTTCCTTCAATTTCCCCTGTCAAGGGAGATAGATCTTAGTCAATTCAAGTTTTTCTCTTAAATCTCTTATAGAAAAAGATCCTAATTTTCTCAAGCAATGAGGTATCCATCAATGTTGGTGTAGATTTTGAGGTCTTCTCTTGTCTCCTATGTCTCTTGGAAATTTCTTGGGAGTTTTACCTAATACTATTTATACCTGTTTCTCCAGTGGTAATTGCATCAGAAACACTCAAAGCTCCTATAACTGATCTCAGAGAACTTGGCACATTTCCCACTGACTTAGAGGTGATGTCTGTAGGAACAGAGTGACTGTAAAAAATTATTTATTACTTCCCTGTTTCAAGTGTCCAGCAGCATGTAGTTGGGGTGAAGGCAGAAATAGCTACACTGTTTGAGGTTTCATGTTTAAATAATAAGACTGTAAAAGTAAATAAATATATATTATAAAATAAGCATAGTGATTATCTGCAGGGTAGAGGACAAGCTTTATGATAGGATAGGGATGTGTTTGGTGGAGTTCTGGAATACTGGCATTGTTCAGTTTCTTGATGTGCATGTTGGCACCGTGGGTGTTCACTTCATAGTAATTCATTAAGCTGCATATTTGTTTTATGCCTTTTCTGCATGTGTGTCTTATTTTAAAGTGTAAAAAGAAAACCTTAAGAAGTTTTTATTTATCTTAAAAGAACTGAGGAGGTATTAAGTGGCATATCTTGGGCAAATCCTAATACAGTGAAAGACACAATCTTTCTCCTCCTATAATCTTTCCTTTATATGATGTGCTTGTCTGAAACTTGCAGTAAGAAAGTGGTACATACCTGTGTGCCGGGCTGTAGTAATCTTTGGAGACTGAAGTAATAACATAGTAAAGGAGAGGAGTGTTCATTATCTTCCTTGAAGAATAGTTTACTGATGTGTGGGATTCAACTCAGAATGATGGACAGCGATAAGCAGTAATATCGAGGAATGGCCCACGTGCTAAAGAAAGATCCTAAGTGGACAACTTGAGAGACACATAGGAAAGAGTCTTACAAGCTGACTTAGAAGCAACCAATGCATTTAGAGAAAGCCATTTTCTCTCTCCATGATGTGTCGTTCTGAATGTTTCCTTTTGTCCTTAGCTCCCAGTTCACTGTTTCTCCATTCAACTGAGTGTAAGGGGCTATTAAAATTATTCACCAAGGTCTTCATTTCTATTCATGAATTGGAATTGATTTTAAATCTGCTATACTATTATTTAGAGTTGCTAGGTTTTTATCAAATTTTAATTTTTGTCTTTTATCACCTTGAAAACCATAGCATAGTTATTTAAAAATTCTTCCTGATAATTGCAGTATCTGTCAATGGAACATCTATTGTTCTATGTCTTTACCTCTGCTGGTTTTTAGCTACATTATCTTATCTCTTCATGTTCTTGCATATCTTGATTGCGTCTTAATCATTGTATATAAAAATTTTGTAGAAGTAATTTGATAAGTAGGGTCCTGTTATTTTACTCACTAATCACACTCAACCTCTTCCACTAACTGTTATCACCTAAGAGGTAAATACTGAGATACTCAGCAAGCTCAGCGGGGCCCTTCTTCCTGTCTCCAACCTGCCTCTCCACCTACATCACTTGTGAGTCTGTCAAGTACCAAGCACACTGGAGTTCAGTTGTCATTGACTGTGGAGGGCCTTTCAACTTTCTGTAATTTGGAGCTTACTTTTACACTCGGAAAGGAATTCTCATGACTTTCCGGGGACGATTCTCATCCTTCCTTCTTGAATTGGAAGGAAAGTTTTTTCCCATTGAAAATTGCTCTTACTACTCCAAGATAAAATCACTCCCTCTTTCCTGTGAGCTACCATTGCACATTGTGTTTCTGTTTCCAGTTTTCCTCCAAATGTATTTTTTATTGTATCAAAACATCTACAACAAAATTTACCGTTTTAACCATTTTTAAGTGTACAGTTATGTGGCATTAAGTACATTCACATTGTTCTGAATCATCATTCCCGGCCACCTCCAGAGCTTTTTTCATCTTGTAGAACTGAAACTCTGTATCCAAAAACAATAAATTCCCATTCTCCCCTTCTCCCAGCCCCGAGGAACCATGCTTCCATTTTCTGTCTCTATGAATTTGACTACTCTAAGTATCTCATCTGAGGGAGATCACAACTTATTTGTCTTTTTTTGACTGGCTTATTTCAGTTAGCATAATGTCACCAAGATTCATCGATGTTGCAGCATATGTCACAGTTTCCCTCCTTTTTAAGGCTGAATAATATTTCACTGTATGTATATGCCACATTTTTTCTAATCCATTAGTCCACTGATGGACACATATATTGCTTCCACTGTTTGACAATTGTGAATAATGCTTCCATGAACATGAGTGTACAAAGACCTTTTTCACTCTGTTTCCAATTCTTTTAGGCATATACCTCCAAGATAAGTTGTTCATTCATATGGTAACTCTGTCCTTAAGTTTTTGAGGAGCCATCATAATATTAATATTATTTTCCATTCAAACTGCACAGTTTTACAATCCCACTAATTTTGTACCATAATTTCAATGTCTCCACATCCTCATCAGCATTTGTTATTTTCTGATTGTGTTTTTGCTTTTTAAAGTAGTAGCTATCCTAATGGGTCTCAAGTGGTATCTCACTGCAGCTTTTGATTTGTGTTTCCCTCATGATTAGTGATGTTGAGTATTTTTTCTTGTGCTTATTGACTTTTTGCATGTATTCCTTGGAGAAATACCTACTTTAATCATGTGCCCGTTTTTTAACAGTATGTTTGTGTTTCTTCTGGTAGAGTCTAGAAGTTGTTTATGTACTCTGGATACTAACTCTTTATCAGATATGTGATTTGAAAGTATTTTCTTCTGTTCTATGCCTTGCCTTTTCACTCTTGTTGTCCATTGATGCACACAAGTTTTTAATTTTGACATAGTCCATTTTATCAGTTTTTCTTTCGTTGCCTATGATATTGCTGTAATATCCAAGAAATCATTGCCAACTCCATTGTCATGAAGCTTTTCTCCTGTTTTTTTCTAAGAATTTTATAATTTTAACTCTTTTGTTTAGGTTGGATCCATTTTTAGTTAATTTTTGTAGATGGTATAGTACGACCCCAGGTTTATCTTTTGCATGTAGAAATCCACTTTTCTAAGCAGCATTATTGGAAAGACTGTTCTTTTCCCAGTGAATAGTCTTGGTACCCTTGTCAAAATTCATTTGACCTTATATGTGAGAGTTTGTTTCTGGGTTCTCTGTTTTGTTCCATTAAACTATTTGTCTCTCTTTATGACAGTACCATACTGTTTTGAAGAAATGTGTATTTGTAGTAAGTTTTGAAATCAGGAGGTGTGATGTCTCCAACTTTGTTCTTATTTTTCAAGATTCTTTTGGCTATTCAGGGTCCCTTGAGATTCCATATGAATTTTAGAATGTCTTTTTCCATCTACAGAAAATATCATTGGATATTGATAGAGACTGCATTCAATCTGTGGATCACTTTGGATAGTATTAACATCTTGGTATTATTAAATCTTCCAATTCATGAACACAGGATGTTGTTCCAGTTATTTGCGTCTTCTTTAATTTTGTTTAGATGTGTTCTGTAGTTTTCAGTACACAAGTCTTTCATCTCCTTAGTAATGTTTCATCCTAAGAATTTTATTCTTTTGATGCAATCATAAATGGAATTGTTCTCTTTATTTCCTTTTTGGAATGTTCATTGTTACTGTATAGAAGTGCAACTGATTTTTGTGTTGTTTGGATCCTGCAACTTTGCTGAATTTGTTTATTAGTTCTAACAGTATTTCTGTGGGACTTTTAAAGTTTTCTCTTTATAAAATCATGTTGCCTACAAACAGAGATAATTTTATTTCTTCCTTTCCAATCTGGATGCCTTTATTTCTTTTTCTTTCTCAATTACTCTGGCTAGGTCTCCCAGTACTCTATTGAATACAAGTGGCAAGAAGTGGCATCCTTGCCTTGCTGCTGATCTTAGCAGAACGCCTTTCAGTCTCTCACCATTGACTATGAAAATGTCTTGGATATTGTCAAATGTTTTTTCTGCATCAATTGAGATGGTTGTGTATTTTTTCCCCTTCATTCTGTAAATGTGGTGTAGCACATTGATGAATTTTCATATGTTGAAACTTCTTTGCTTTCCAGAAGTAAATCCCACTTAAAAATGGCATACAATCCTTTCAGTATGTTGTTGAATTTGTTTTGCTAGTAATTTGTTGAGGATTTTTGCATCGTATCTTTCATAAGTGATGCTCTTCTTTAGTTTTCTTTTCTTGCAGTGTCTTTATCTAGCTTTGGTATCAGGATAAATCTGGCCTTATGAAATGTGTTTGCAAGTATGTTCTCCTCTTCAATTTTTTGGAAAATTTGAGGATGGTTGGTGCTAGTTCTTCTTCAAATGTGTGGTGAAGTCACCGGCATAGCCCTCTAGACCAGCGCTATTCTTTCTTGGGCCCATTGTAATTAACTACTTGCTTTATTCTTTCACTCATGAAATTAAAAATTCTTAACAGGCACAGATAGCATACTATTGTTCTCTTAAACGTCTTCAGCGCTTTGCACAGTTTCTGAAAAATACAACGTATTCTAAAAGCATTGGTTGAAAGAATGAAGGTGAGCTATTGTTATAAAATCAAGCAATAGGAAGCTCTAACAAAGCTGAAAACCAAAGCACGCTTTTTCATAGAAGGATAAATGAAGTTATATATCTTTGTCAAACTTTAGACTTAAAATAAGGCCAGGTATCTTTAGTTTTCCAAAATGTGATAAAGATGTTCAATGGTAACTATATGGTCCTTTTAAACTGAATACTTTCTCATACTCACAATTCCTTCAGGATCTCAGAAGTTCTGTGCTTAAAATCAGCAGTTTTCTTGAGAGACAACTGAATGAAGAGGACGTGGAAGCTGTTGTTAAACAGGCAACATTTGAGAACATGAAGTTTGATCCACAAGCAAATTATGAGCAAATTCTAAAACACGACTTGGGGAGAAGAACAGACGAGGGAAGTTTTCTTGCGCAAAGGTGATAAGCAGTGGTTTACAGAAGCAAAACTGTTGAGAGTTCCATTGAGTCCTTGGCCCCCATGCTAATTAAGGAGTGCTGCCAACATGTCTCTCCAAGTACTGCCATATGGGCCCTTGAAGGAATCAAATATCCTAACTGAAAGCGACCATGAAAAGTGTCCCAGCAAACCCAACAATTCTTTACTACAGAGCCTGACACGTAAACCTGATCAATAAACATTAGTCCATGTTACCTACTTTTTAAAATTTGTTCGCAAGTACCGCCTGAAGGCTGTGGATCTATGCAACCAGGAGAGTTCCAATTCTTGTTTTCCTTTATTTCTCTTGAACATTCTAGAAGGAAACAACATAAATTTTATTGTGAGGAACTGAGGTTGTATTACTGTTATTATCCCATGTGGCAGATTTCTTCCTTGTAAAAAGTAGATTGATACTTCATTAACCCAACCTGCTATGAATTTATTTGACAATGTGCAATAAATTTTTATGTTGCTCCTAAAACATGCTAGGAGTAGTTAAGACTGAGTGTTTTTCCTGATATTGCTTAAGTTCAAAATTTTTTAATTTAATCTTTTTAATGTATACCATTCTAAAGGTAATTTGTACTTCTCTATTTCATATTTTCTTCTCAAATTTATTCATAAATGTATTATGATGATGGACATTGATTAAATCTAAATGTGTAAAGATTTTTTGAAATTGATATCTTTAAAAATTATTTTTTCCCTTTGTTATTTACCTTCACTTCTCATTCCTCAGCTAGATCAGATATAAAGCAATTCTCATGCTCATAATAGCTTGCTAACTGTTCCAATGACAATAATCATGCTTTCATAAGACAGTCTGAGCGCTGAGGATGTCATATTATTAATCATTAAAAAATTGGCTTAATGATGGTTTCAAACTTTTATCAAGTGAAACTGCAGCAGTAGCAGCTCTAGGCACCTTCTGTGACCTTCACTTCATTACTGGGAAATCTAGGGTCTCCATTTTTTCCATTTGAAAAATGAAGAAATACTTACCTTGTAAGGTTGTGTTAAGATGTATGTTACATGGAAGAAGTAATTTGCCAAGTATAGTGCCTGGAATTTAGTAAAATATATTTAATTTTCTGATCTTTTCATATATTTTGTTTTGGTTTTCCTTCCAAAGGAAGGTTGTAATTTAGTGGTTGGTGGAAGTCTACCAGATAAGGAAGTGGACCGTAAGGCTACTTTCAGTGTTACTGTGTTCCCTGGAGTTTGTTTCTTAGCTCCTCCCTTTACAAGGAGGAGTGGAGAATCGAACCCCATGGAAAACTATCAGATATCACCTTGGTTTGGGGAAGAGATTAAAGAGGGCTGCAGGAAACTTTTGCCCTGATGGTGCTACTTCCTCACCCAGATGCTGTTCATGTGCTTATCTCACTAGGTACCGTTGGAGACTGGAAACATCACCTGACTGTGGAGCAAAATGAGAGATTTGATAGAATATTCCAAAGCAAGATGAAAGACTTTCCCTTGAAGTTCATCTGGGATCTAAATGAGGAATAGAATTAGTGCAAAATAAACATAGAGAAAATTCACTAACTAGAGAGCATATTTTAATATGCATATTAACTTGTGCTTCTCATCTGTGTTAATTATAAAATTTTATTAATTTAGAAAAATGAGAACACTAGACTTACAATGGTTGCCATGAGTTGGATGAATACTTTGAAATTTTAAAAGTTAAAATGATTTGGGAGAGAGTCTGAACTGGTTGCCTGTATGATAGAGGGAAAAAACAGAGAGCATGCAACATGAATGGTAAATATCTTCAAAGACTTTTCTGTAGTGTGTATTTTTTCTTTCTCTACGATTAAATTTAGGATCAATCGAACATCAAAATCCCTTTATTCTTGTAATTAAACTTTAATGCTTTGGTTCAAATCAATGTACAGAAATCAGACGTAAACACTTGCATCTGTTTAATAATTTGCCGTACGGCAAAGTTTGCACTAAAGGTCAAGGATCACAAATAGATTAACCATCTAATGGTTAAATCATTAATTATTTAGATGAAGAAATATAGCTGTGTCCACAACATATCATTCACTAAACTAATTTTATATGTATTTATAACTAAATATTTAAGATAAAATCATTTTGAATAACTAGAAACATATATGTGAATCTGTTAATAATTCCAAAATAGAAAAAAACTTTTGAAACATAAAGGCAATATAAGAAACTTTAAGAAAAAGGTCATTGTAGATGTAATTAGTTATATTTAAATACTGGAGTGTGGTGGGCTCTTAATCCAATAAAACTGATGTTAGAAGAGAAAAAAGACACAGGATGCAGGCTGTGATGTCACAACAGAAGCTGAGTTTGGAGTGATGCATCTATAAGCCAAAGATGCCAGCAAACTCCAAGAACCTAGAAGTAGCAAGCAATGATTCTCTCCTACAGGTTTCAGAGGGGGTATGGCTTTACTGACATCTTGTTTTTGGACTGCTAGCCTCGACAACTGTGAGACAATAAATTTCTGCTGTTTTCAACCACCTGAATATTGGTATTTTCTTACAGAAGCCTGAGGAAACTAATACAACACTACAACTTAATGAAATAACTGCTGCTCTAAACCAGAAGCATTAAGGCAGGTCCTGGAGCTAAACCGAAGGAGTGGGTAAGGTAGCATAGTGCTGATTAGTTCTGATGCATGATATATGTCCAAATACATGTCAGCAATGACTGGAATAACAAGGGAAGATTTATGTCCATTCTTATCACCCCTATTCAGTAGAGTACTGGAAAAGCCTAGCTAGGACAATGAGACAAGCAAAGGAGATAAAACGGATATAAACTGGAAAGGAAAAGCAAAGATTGGTTGTGTGCAAATGACACGATGGTCTATGTAAAAAATTCCAAGATATTAACAGAAAAACTGCTAGAACTAATAAGTGAGTTTGGCAAAGTAGCAAAATATTAATTCTAGACATACAAAAGTCAATGATATTTTTATACACTAGCCAGGAAACATTAAAAATTAAAGACTGAGTACCATATGCAATTGCTCCAAAAAAAGAGAGAAATATTTGATGCACATCTAAGCAAGCATGTACTGAGTCTGCATGTTGATAATCAAAATTTTGTAATTACAGAAATCAAGGAAAACTAAATTAAATGGAGCAATATACCATGTTCATTGATTGCAAGATTCAACTTTGTAAAGATGTCAGTTCTGGCCACATTAACCTATAAGTTTAATGGAATTCCTGCCAAAATCCAAATAAGATTCTTTGTAGCCATATAAAAGCTAATGCTCAATTTTAAGATTTCCTATGAGCAACAGTTAATCAAGACAGCATGGTTTTGGCAGAAGAATAGACATATAGATCAATGGAACAGAATAGAGATTCCATACATAGAACTCCACAAGTACGCCAGCTGAATTTTGAGAAAGGAGGAAAGCAATTCCATGGAGAAGGATGGATTTTTCAACAAATGGTGTTCTAATAATTAGACATCATAGACGAAAACAATGACACTTGACTTAAACCTCATACATTATAAAATTTAACTCAAAATGTGTCCTGGATCTAAACATACAACGGAAATCTGTAATACTTTTAGAGGAGACATTCATGATCTAGGCATAGGCAAAGAGTTCTTAGTTGACACCAACACCATGATCCATAAAAGAAAGAGATGCTAAATTAAGCTAGATCAAAATAAAGAAAGCTTTTGCACTGCAAATGATCTTGTTAGAAGATGAAATGGAAAGCTACAGACCAAGAGGAAATATCTGCCAATCACATACCTGACAAAGCACTTGTATCCAGAGTGTAGTGAATTCTCTAAACTCATCAGAAGGAAAGCAAACATTCCAATCAGAAAATGGGCAAAAGGCTTGAAAGGTATTTTACCAAAGAGGATAAAAGAATGCCAAATATGCGTTTGAAAAGATGTGTACCGCTATTAGCCATTACAGAAATGGAGATTAAAACTATGAGATACCAGCACACACTTATAAGAGTAGATTTCAAAATGTTGGCAATACCACATGCTGGCAGCGGTGGAGTAAATGCATCTCTCCTGCCTTGTTGGTGAAGATACAAAATGGTCCAGCCACTTTGCAAGACAGTTTGGCAACTTCTTATGAAGTCACACATACAGTTAACATACAACTCAGCAATCTGACTGCTGTGCATTTATCCTATAGAAAGAAAACTCATATTCACACTCAAACTTGTATATAAATTTTCATAGTATCTGTTTGTAATATTTCCAAAACGGGATGTATCCCAAATGTCTTTAAATAGGTGAATGGATAGAAATATATATATCGTATAAAAAGGCATGAACAAAGCACAATAGTTGGATCATTACAAAGGCATTATACTAAGTGAAGAAAAGAAGGTTATGTACCTTTGTGATTTACTTTTATGACTTTTCTCAAAGTGACAATATTTTAGTGATGGAGAACAGACCAGTGATATTCAGGTGTTACAGTTGGGAGGTGGATGTGACTACTAAGGGGCAACACAAAGAAGTCTCTTTGTGGCGATGAACAGTTTTGCATGCTGATTGTGCTGAGGGTTACATGAATCTACACCTGATAAAGTTTCTTGATCTCTAATCACCTCACACACCCAAAACAAGTGCATGCGAAAAGTGCTGAAATCCCAACAATGACTGTATTTGAGTTAACGGTATTGTACCAATGTCAGCTTCCTGCTTTTGATCATGTACTACGTTTATGGAAGTAATGGTCATTGGGGAAGCTTAGTGAAGGGAATACCAGGATTCTCTGTAGTAGTTTTGCATCTTCCTGTGAGTCTTAAACTATTTCCTAATAAAAATTATAAAATAGAATAGTCAACATAATCCTGATTGGTTATGGATTATTTTCATCGACAAGATATTTACAGAAGATTTTCAAAGGTAGTACAGAGAGTGCATTCAATATTTCTTCTTCCTCTCACAGTGAGAAGCCTATACCCACAACATACTTGCTTATTTGTTCAACCCCACTGCATATGTAAAGTAGTTTCAGAATTGCTAGATTATTTTTCCATAAGAAAGAAATTTACCAACTGTAGCATGTTGTTGGTATTCAGTTCTTTTGTCTTCAGAATTATAGTACCTAGACAAAATACTAGTTTCTAAAGTTATTTAGATTAGATCTGTTTTTCCCATCCCGTTCAGTTGGGTTATGACATATGTCTGTAATATAGATGCATCCATCTGACACAAGTGAAATTCCACACTGGGTTCCTTTAACATCACGGTAGCTTTTGAAATTTAAATACATTAAAAGTCACCTTTTCTGGTGGAATGGATACATATAATCCTGTATCCTCGACCTCAGTACTTGTTAGGGCCTAAAAAGTCTCGGATGGCTGGCCCAGGTCCAGCTGCAGCATCAGCCCATACTGTTGTCCCTTTCATTCTCGGTTCTACAGCCACCTTGCACCTGTCAATTCCCACGGTGCCACAATACTCCTGATTTACAGGCCTTTCACCCAGCTCCATATTCTCTGCAGGAAGCTTTCCCTGATTTCTTAACCTAGGCTACGTCACCTAGTTACAGTGTTATTGATTCATTTATCTTTTTATATTTATTGTAGTCTAAAGTTCTATATTTACTCATGTTTTTACTTAAAAATCTCTCCTCTCTCCACACTCGTGCTGAGACTAAATGATCTATGAGAAAAGGGACTTTGACTATTTACTATTCTATGACAGGGCCTGATACACAGAAATCATGAAATAAATATTTGTTCAATGACTGAAGTCTTAAAGGAGAAATAAAAGTAACTAGGCAGACAAAGAAGAAAAATTCTTCCTGGGAAAACAATTAGGATTGTGAGAACTTACAAGATGAGGAAGGAGAGCAGGTTGCTTTCCTGAATTGCCAAGCGGTTCAGTGTGCTTAGAGGTCAGTGTGTGGACAGTGAAAGATAGATACCAACGGAAAAGCTTGACTTGAGAACAGTATGCAGGAAAGTCCCCTGAGGAGTCTAGGATGAAAGGAAAATAGTTATGGAAGTGAAGAAACCCAGGAGCCTGTCAGTTAATGCAAGTACTTCTTTTAAAAAGAAGAAAATACTAATATTGCCACTATCAGTTTAAAAATCAGGAATGGATTTCCAAGTGAACAGCAGACTATGAAGAGCGTATATGTGTACAAACAAAGAATAGTGTTAAAGTTTTAAAATCCAAATAATTTCCGCAAAATTACTGATGTACAGAATCATCTATGGTCTTCACAGCAATTATTCCTAAATAAGAAGCATCCCATTAAACAGATAATTTCCCCCAAATCTTGGACAACGTTGAATCAATTGTCTCTCTCTGATCTTGTTCTCTGCAGAATAATTTTTGTTCTAGATGGTAGAAGATTCTAGCTTTAAATTGTGTTCTAGCCTGGAGTAGGGTCAGTAATGTGTGTGTGTCGTGGGGTATGGGAGGATTTACTATTGCAAACAACTTAATTCTGTTGATCCAACTATACATGGATGAATAACTCAACCAAGTCCAAGTCAGATGATTCAGCAACCCTGTCATTTAATTCCAGCTTTTCCACAAAGAAGAAATAACCAAAGTGGCTCCTGTTTAGCCAGCTTATTATAGAGCTATTATGATAAAAGAGAAGGAAAAAAAATGTTATGAGGAAATAAAGATAGATCCTGGTATTGGAGGCCTTTGGAAGGATGGTAAACATAAGTGGGTGATGGATCCTGGCGTTACTTCATTGTCACAACAATTCTTCTTCTCTCCTCAAAGCAAATAAAGAGAACCATTGTGAAGCATTCTATCAGGGACAGACTGAGCTGCAACCTGAGGGACTATGTTCATGAAAGGGTGCTATGGAAATAATCTTTCCACCAGTCCCATATTTACATGGCTTTTCTCTCTTGGTAAATAGGAAGCTGGGAATTAAAAAATAGTCTGTAAGTTAAGGTGCAGGAAATTTGTCTTCTCTAAATAACCAAACTGAAAATTTACACAATCAAGTTAAGGAAAGAAATGTGCTTATTCATTATTCAAAGTTTAAGGTAAGCAAATGCAGGGCAAAAAGAATCAAAAATTCCTCTGCATTGGTTTTACATATTTGTGTAATTCTTTTTTTTAATTGAGTTAATGATAGGTTACAATCTTGTGAAATTTCCGTTGTACATTAATGTTTGTCATTCGTTTTGTAGGTGCACCACTTCACCCTTTGTGCCCACCCCCCACCCCACCTTTCCCCTGGTAGCCACTAATCTGTTCTCTTTGTCCACATTTTTAAATTCCTCATATGAGTGGAGTCATACACAGATTATCCTTCTCTAACTGGCTTATTTCACTTAACATCATTCCCTCAAGGTCCACCCACGTTATTGCAAATGGAATGATTTTGTTCTGTTTTACAGCTGAGTAGTATTCCATTGTATGTATACACCACATCTTCTTCATCCATTCATCTGTTGATGGGCACAGGTTGCTTCCACATCTTGGCTATTGTAAATAATGCTGCAATGAACATTGGGGTGCACAGGACTTTTGGA